GTAGATGATGAAGAACTTGAAATATTTGGTCTTATCTGGCTGGATGATAATACACAAAGTGAAGATAATAGAGATACAGAACAAAGATTACGTTCTATTATTAATCGTCTGAAGAAATTTCAAGACGTATTACAATGTGAAAAATATGTTATGAAAAGATCTTCGAAAGATCGATTGGTAATAATTGTAAGTGGTCGATTAGGACGAATAATAGTTCCTACTATTCATGAAGTTCGACAAGTCGTGTCAATATACGTATACTGCATGAACAAGAAAGCCAATGAAGAATGGACTCATCATTTTCCAAAGGTAAAAGTAGTTTAAGTAATCTCAATTTCATTGCATGATATTTGTTTTTTCGTGAACAGGTACACGCTGTCATTACTGAGCTCGATGAACTTGTGTCTCGAATTACAGCTGATCATAAAATTCAAAAAGTCGTAGAAGAACCATTATCAATTAATATTTTTAATGGTCAATCAATAGCTGGTATCAATGGTAAATTTGTTTTTTCACAAGTTTTGATCGATTGTCTTCTGCGATTGGAATCGGACGAAAAAGATAAAACGGAACTTATTAAACGTTGTAAAAAGACGTACGATGGTAATAATATTGAATTAAGAAATATTCGTGAATTTAAAAAGAAATATTCGTCAGACAAAGCTTTACAGTGGTACTCACGAGAGTCGTTCTTTTATAAGACTCTTAATGCTGTTCTACGTAATGAAGATATTCATATGATGTTTTTATTTCGTGAATTTATTGCTGACATTCAACATCAATTGAAATCTTTTCGAACTGATAAAATTCAAAGACTTTATCGAGGACAAAGGATATCAAAAGAGGAATTGGTAACATTAGAACAAAATTGTGGACAACTTATTTCAGTGAATTCATTTTTTTCTACAAGTGCTGATGAGAAACAAGCTCGTGCCTTTCTCCATGCTTCACATGCTGCAAATAATTTAGAAAAGGTTTTATTTGAGATTAATGCTGATCCTAAAATGACTGCTACAAAACCATATGCTGATATTAGTGGCAATAGTGAATATCCGGGTGAATCAGAAATACTATTTATGATAGGTTCTATTTTTCGTTTGAATAGCGTTGGTCAAAATAGTGATGATAATATCTGGATTATTCGAATGACTTTATGCAGTGAAAACGAAAGTGATCTTAAAAATGTTCTCCAATATATGAAACATCAACTTGGCACTGGAGAAACAAATCTTCGAACATTAGGAAAAGTATTATGGGAAATGGGGAGACTTGATTTAGCTGAACAATATTTTATTCGTTTATTAAATAATCTACCAGAAAATCATCATCTACTTAGTGATTTATATGAAGATCTTGGCAAAATAGCATCACTCACCGGTGACTATGACAAGAGTATTGATTATCATCAAAAGTCGCTTGCACTCAAGGATTCAAATAAATCAATGAACACCATGCATGCTGATGAATCTAACAACCAAAATAGTAAGTTCGTCTAAAGAAGGTCTGTTATTTTGTAGTGGATATCTTGTATAAAAATAAGTTTACTATTGAAGAAAAGATGATTGTAAAAACTTTGAAAAAAGAACTCAAATTTATGAAATGAAATAGTTATAGTCTTTAAAATGAGTTTTAGATTCTGCTGATCTGTAGTTAACAGTTGTATTCGAATAGATTAAATTCTATATAGAGCTGTCTACCAAATTTTTGTAAGCTTATCTTTCTATGATAGCTTTAGTAAGATAGTATTTTTACGATAACGTTGATTTTGAGTGAGCAAGTCGAAGATCTTCGCTATGTTACAACAAATAGATCATAAGATCGAATTCTAGAGTTTAAATAACTCAGACAGATTTAAACCTTGGACTATGATTCACTTAAATAATGCTAAGATCATTGTTATAATCATCATGATATTGACGAATTTTTTTTTATTCTTTGTATTCACTGAATATTGACACAGCGTAGGCAACTGAATAAGTTATAAGTCGACAATGATCCTATTTTTTTTTATTGCTCTTCTCAATTCTGTTGATAAATTTTAAATCAGTCATATTATTGTTTTGACATGTTTTCCAACGAGTTATAGAAGAATTTTTGTAATTTATGCAGAATACGTATTATGTCTTTACAAGACAAATAAATGAAAATATAAACTTTATGTAACCAGGACACTGAAGTAAAGATGTTTGTTCTATAAGTTTATTTTTCTCTGATATCATCTAACAGTATGCTGTACAAAATCATGAGTCATTGTTTCTCTAGGATAATTTTATATTTGAACTATTATTATTCAGGATAATTTTTATTTTATCATATAATGCCCATTTTTTCGTTATGTTTCTCCTCAACTTTACATTCTTTATTCTCAGATTCTTTCTCATTAGTAAATAGCAATAAATTCTCTTAGTGACTTAGTTCTGTTTCTGTCTGTGTATATTGACTAGCATTATTTTTTACCCCATCTTCTAAGCAAAATAAATAACAGCAGTAAATCGTCAGTTGACATATTCGGTTAAATGTGAGTTTTTTTTGTATCTATCTTCTGAATACAAAATCCTTCTGTCGTTAATATATTTTTTTTGGATAAACATGAAATAATGTCCCGTACATAGACCTATTGTCAAATTGTAGACTACAAAAAAAGCAAAGATAACAATAACGTATATAGCATCTGTCTAAGTATTATTGTTCTCATTCTAATTTAAACCAAAACTTGGCAAATATATATTAGTACGTTTCCTACAGATACATTTACTTAATAAAATGCATTTTTGGATTGATAGTTCGAAGCTTGTAAATTAATTTTTCCTTTATGTTTGCTCAATCTAAAATGGGTGTCGGTGCGGGTGTGTGTGGAATGTGGATGTGCACGCAAAGCGAAAGATAACAAACATCCAGATCCAAACCCACCCACATCCACGCCCATATCCACCTTTGAAAGCACAAATCGTGTCAGAAAAGCAATTGATTATTTTGGAAACTTGTGTAAGACGTCATAAATACGCTGTCTAGAGTTATCATCCATTAATATCTACATCTATGTCCAAGATCAAGTTAACATCTATCATAAACGATGCTTCAAACGAATGGAAGACATCGATAACATATTCGCTTTTTCTTCCATAGAACCAATGTCAAAAAGTGTGAATCATCTGATGACGTCGACCACAAATACAAAAGAGCAAGAGATATTCGAAGTTGTTTACACCGTCACAACTGATGTTGGTTCCATTGTAAGACGCATATACAGAGATATTGGTAGCTTTTTTTCGAACAACGGATATGCTGTTGGCAAGCTTCGTTACTTGAAAGGTATTCACCGCATTCGGTTGAAACTAGGTGGTGGAAAACCATTTTTTGGAATTATCAGTCAGAAACAGGCAGTTGAACTTAGACATCTTTCACATGCTAGTCTCGATTCGTTTAACAAATACCACAAGCAGTGGAGTGTCTACGGTTGGTGTACAGGCACAGGTGATATTATAGTCAACGGTGAAGAATCTTGGCAAATGAACAAACCATTCGAATACTGGTCAGCGTCCAACGAAAGTAATGACATATTCGAGCTAAAACTGAATTGCGACGATCAACAGATGAGTATTGTCAGTGTCAATACGAAAATACGTGATACGCTGTGCGTGAATGCTCCTTTGCCTTGGTGCCTTTTTATTAGTACTCACGACACAGCAAGTCAAGTAGCTGTGATTAAATCTTATTCTACTGATGCCTC